ACTGTCTCTGGCTTATGATATAGGGTTGATGGTCCCCCCCCCTTGGGGAGGAGAAAGAGGAGAAAGCTCAGTTCTCTAACGTATCTTACCATCTCCAACTACAAAAGAAGCTATAACGGGATCTTTTTTGAGCTTTGAATACAGAATTCAGAACACATTGAGCGTTTTGAGAGCAATTATATAACACTGCCGTAATGGCTTCCAACGGCCTCTCATCGCCTCACCACGGGCTCGATGACGCAAAGGCTGAAGGGGTCAGTCCCGGCCACTCGAGCGTATATACAGACGCAGAGCATACGCCTACTCCCCTCGCATATGAGGAGGCCGACCTTGATGAAGTAGACATCGAGGATGACGGCGAAGGCACCCAGTATGCGCCACTGCGGCCCACTGCCACAACCGCCACCGCACGCGAACGTCGCCAGAGCGGCTTTGTCGACTCCGTTCGACCAACTGACCGTGACGAGCTTCACCGTCTTGCTTCGACGCTGTCTCGTCGGGACACATATGCTGAGCTAGGGCCTGGGGATCCGGCATTGGACCCTTCCTCCTCAAACTTCGATGCGTATAAATGGGCGCGCGTGATGGTGCGGTTGAGCACCGAGAAGGGGATTGCCCAACGCAAGGCCGGAATTGTATTTAAGAACCTGAGGGTGACAGGAGCGGGGAAGGGGCTGATGCTGCAAAACACTGTTGGGTCGACACTGGCGATGCCATTTAGGTTGGGGGAGGTATTTGGAAGGGGCAAGGAGAAGGTCATTCTTAATAACTTTGAGGGTGTTGTCAAACCAGGAGAGTTGTTGGTTGTGCTTGGACGACCCGGAAGCGGGTGCTCCACGCTGCTTAAGACGTTGATGGGGGAGACGAAAGGCTTAAAAGTCGATTCGGGCTCGGTAATCCATTACGACGGCATCCCGCAAAACCTCATGACCAAGCACTTCAAGGGAGAGCTCTGCTACAACCAAGAAGTCGACAAGCACTTCCCCCATCTTACCGTCGGCGAGACGCTCACATTTGCCTCCCGCGTCCGCACTTCCCAGGCCCACGTTACGGACCTGTCCCGCGAGGAACGCGCCGACCACATGGCCCGCGTTATGATGGCCGTCTTCGGTCTGTCACACACGTACGACACCATGGTCGGCAACGAGTATGTCCGCGGTGTCTCGGGTGGTGAGCGCAAGCGTGTTTCCATCGCCGAGATGGCCCTCTCCCGTGCCCCCATCGCTGCCTGGGATAACTCCACCCGCGGCCTTGACGCCGCCACTGCGCTCGAGTTCACGCGCGCCCTGCGTATGAGCAGCAATCTGACTGGCGCGGCACATCTGCTTGCGATTTACCAGGCCAGTCAGGCCATCTATGATGAATTCGACAAGGCGGTTGTCCTGTACGAGGGAAGACAGATCTACTTCGGAGCTTGCGAGAACGCTAAGCAGTACTTCCTCGACATGGGCTACGAGTGTCCGCCACGACAGACCACGGGTGATTTCCTGACCTCGGTCACGAACCCCGTTGAGCGTCGCGCGCGCCCCGGATTCGAGGATCGCGTGCCCCGCACGCCCGAGGACTTCGAGAAGTACTGGCGCGGCAGCGCCGCCTATGCTACGCTACAGGCTGAGATCAAGCAGCACGAGGCGGCCCACCCGATTGGTGGGCCTACGCTGCAGGAGTTCTACGACAGCCGCAAGGAGATGCAGTCGAAGCACCAGCGTCCCAAGTCGCCGTACACGGTCAGCGTGCCGATGCAGGTCAAGTACTGCACGAAGCGCGCGTATCAGCGGCTGTGGAACGACAAGGCATCGACAATGACGGCCATCTTTGGGCAGACCATCATGGCGCTGATTATTGGGAGTATTTTCTATAACACACCGAATAATACGCAGAGCTTCTTTCAGAAGGGCGGCGTGCTGTTCTTCGCGGTCCTGCTTAATGCACTGATGGCTGTCACGGAGATTAATAAGCTTTATGAGCAGCGTCCGATCGTGTCTAAACAGGCATCATATGCCTTCTATCATCCGTTTGCTGAAGCAATGGCTGGCGTGGTGTCAGATTTACCAGTCAAGTTTCTCATTTCCACGGCCTTCAACGTTATACTGTACTTCCTCGCTGGACTCAGGCGGACGCCAGGGCAATTCTTCATATTCTTCCTGTTCAACTTCGTCGCCATTTTTACGATGAGTATGATCTTCCGTACCATCGCAGCCACCACGAAAACCGAAGCACAAGCCCATGCGATTGCCGGTGTCCTGGTTCTCGCCATCGTCATCTATACCGGCTACGTCATCCCAAGCCCGCTGATGCACCCCTGGTTCAAATGGATCATGTATCTCAATCCGATTCAGTATACCTTCGAAGCGCTCCTCGTCAACGAGCTACACGGTCAGAACTTTGCCTGCTCGCAGCTCGTTCCCGCCTACCCTGGTCTCTCGGGCCCAACCTTCGTTTGCGCAACCGCAGGCGCCGTTGCAGGCGAGACCACCGTCAATGGCGACAGTTTCCTCGCCGCTGCGTACGATTACCACATCAGCCATCTGTGGCGCAACTTTGGTATCCTGATGGCTTTCACTATCTTCTTCTTCTTCACGTACATGCTGGCCACCGAGTTCAACAGCGCCACTGAGAGCGCGGCCGAGGTCCTTGTGTTCCGTCGCGGACACGCGCCGAGGCAGATCGTGGAGGGTGAGAAAGGAGGCAACACCGATGAGGAGGTCCAGAACGGCGAGGCACTCGCGGTTGGCCGTAACGACGAAGCTGCTGAGAGGCAACAGGATGAAACTGTTAAGGTTCTCGAACCCCAAACCGACGTCTTCAGCTGGAAAGATGTATGCTACGATGTTCCTGTCAAGGGCGGTGAGCGCCGCCTTCTCGACCACGTCAGTGGCTGGGTCAAGCCCGGCACCCTGACGGCACTGATGGGTGTGTCGGGCGCGGGTAAGACGACGCTCCTTGACGTTCTGGCAGGCCGCGTGACCATGGGCGTCATTACGGGCGACATGCTGGTATCTGGCAAGGCGCGCGACGCATCATTCCAGCGCAAGACCGGATATGTGCAGCAGCAGGATCTTCACTTGGAAACTTCTACCGTGCGCGAGGCTCTTCGTTTCTCTGCTTACCTGCGCCAGCCGAAGAGCGTGTCAAATAAGGAGAAGGAAGACTTCGTGGAAGACGTCATCAAGATGCTTAATATGGAGGACTTCGCTGAGGCCGTCGTTGGTGTGCCCGGTGAGGGATTAAATGTCGAGCAGCGCAAGTTGCTGACTATTGGAGTCGAGCTCGCTGCAAAGCCGGCACTGCTTCTATTCTTGGATGAGCCAACATCGGGCCTCGATTCTCAGTCTTCATGGGCCATTATAGCGTTCCTGCGCAAGCTCGCGGATAACGGACAAGCTGTTCTGGCGACTATCCATCAGCCTTCTGCAATTCTCTTCCAAGAGTTCGACAGGCTCTTGTTCCTCGCGAAGGGCGGGAAGACAGTCTACTTTGGTAATATTGGAAAGAACTCGGAAACTCTGCTTAGCTACTTTGAGAGAAACGGCGCGCCGCAGTGTGACCCAGAGGAGAACCCTGCCGAGTACATGCTCACAATGGTTGGTGCAGGTGCCTCCGGACGTGCAACGCAAGACTGGCACGAAGTCTGGAAAAACAGCGAGGAGTCTGTCGGTGTCCAACGCGAGCTTGCACGCATCAAGACAGAGATGGGCTCTCGGCCTTCGCATGATGCTGAGAATTCGCATGGCGAATTTGCTATGCCATTCTCGACGCAGCTGTATCACGTAACTATTCGAGTCTTTGCGCAGTACTGGCGCACGCCAGGCTACGTGTACAGTAAGTTCGTGCTCGGAGTCGTCTCGGCGCTTTTCATCGGATTCTCGTTTTTCCATGCAGATGCGTCGATACAGGGCATGCAGGATATTATCTTCTCTATCTTCATGTTGACGGCCATTCTGTCAAGTATGGTGCAGCAGATCATGCCGCGCTTCATCCTCCAGCGTGACTTGTACGAGGTGCGCGAGCGGCCCAGCAAGGCCTACTCTTGGGTTGCCTTCATCACTGCCAACATCCTCGTCGAGATCCCCTACCAGATTCTCCTCGGTATCATGGTCTTCGCCAGCTACTACTACCCCATCTACACTCTGGGCGGATTCCAGTCATCCGAGCGCCAGGGTCTTATTCTACTCTTCTGCATCCAGCTCTTCATATTCTCGAGCACTTACGCGCATCTGCTCATTGCTGCTCTCCCCGACGCCGAAACCGCAGCTCGCATCTCAACCCTTCTCTTCTCCCTCATCCTCACCTTCAACGGTGTCTTCCAACCCCCGCAGGCCCTTCCAGGCTTCTGGATCTTTATGTATCGCGTCTCCCCGCTCACGTATCTCGTCTCGGGTATCGTCTCCACCGGCCTCCACGAACGCAAGATAGTCTGCTCTGACAATGAGCTGGCCGTCATGCAGCCGCTGCCCGGCACGTCATGTGGTGCCTATCTTCAGCAATACGCCACGGCGGCCGGAGGCCAAATCATGAACCCGTCGGCGATGGCGAACTGCGAGTACTGCCCACTTACCGTGGCGGATCAGCAGCTGAGCGTGAACGGGATTGAGTGGAGTCAGCGCTGGAGGAATTTTGGGATCGTGTGGGCCTACATCATATTCAATATCTTCGGAGCTGTCGCCCTGTATTATTTGTTCCGCGTGCGGAGGAGTAGTGGCAGGACAGCGAGGCTTATTGAGAAGGTTAAGGGGATGGTGGGAGGCAAGAAAGATAAGGGGGAGAAGGTTGAGCAGGTTAAGCACATTGATGCGGGTGTGGAGAATGGAACTAAGGAGGTTGTGGCCGAGCCAAGGGCTTGAGAAAAAAACAGTTTTCTTTTGTTTTGGAGTGATTTTTTTTTTGAAAATAGTTTAATGTCTTTTGAGGTGATGTTTTGGAAAGGGTTGTCAGAACATATGCATATACATACTACCTAATATCAATTAGAAAAGTTTCCTTACTACTAGAATTGCACTTATCTTCTGTGATGGAATTCCGCGACTAATGGTAGAATCCTGTGTGGACCTACTTTCGAGAGTTGCCTTTAGCTATAATAAACAGGCCATAGTTCGTAGACACGACGTTTGCAATGATTCAGAATGACCATCCACTTAACTTCATTCTTCCTCTAGCCAGTCAAATGTGCTAATATACACCTCACTTCCTCGATCAACACAACACCACAGATTCTACCCCCTACGACACCCGCTCCAAACCACCGTCGCTCCCGAATTACCACACCCCATGCACGCGCCGTAAGCAACGGAAATGCTCCTACTACACAAGAAATCATATACCATATACATCGCCCACCGGGTATACCGCCCTCCACTACCTAGCAAAAACCTTCACGACGCCATCACCCCCGCCACTCACAACCCACCGTCCGTCCTGGCTCCACACCACGCTGCAAACACCCTCACCGCGCATGAGTCTGTGACTCGTCATTTCCTGGGCACAGGCACGCTTCTCCAATGACCAGAATCTCAGCGACGCATCGTGACCGCCTGATACAAGTTCGCGTCCATCGGGCGACATCGAGAGGCACGAGATCGCAGCTGGGTGTGCCAGCATATTGTATGTACATTGGCCTGTCTAACGTTAGTACGGGTCACATAAAGGGGTAGAAAGACGAAGAGATGAGGAAAAGGGAATGGAGAACATACCGCTGTTAGCATCGAAGAATCGGATATACCGGTCTTCATGTCCGCTAATGACTGTCCCCTCGATACCAGCCTGTGATCCTGTTGCACCACCAACGACCACGTCTTCCTCCGACAGCCCGCGCGACGCGTCAAAGGTGAGGGAGGAGTCGAGCCCGGTGGTTGTAGCCACAACGGCATTAACACCAGTAGCTGTGGTACCATCGTATGTCTCTAGGCTTGCCATGGCAGCCATTTCCTCTCCTGTGCGCGTGTCATACACCAGAACTGCCGCATCACTATACGAGACGCAGAAGCTCTCGCCGCGCGGCCCTAGGCTAGCAATGGACGTCGGGCTCGCCGTGCTGTTTTCGCGAGAGATGCTGTGGACAAGAGTATAATTGAATGGGGTGGTAGAGGCAACGCTTGGCTGCGGTGAGGTGGGGAATGCAGAGCCGGAACTCATCGAGTTACCACGTTGGCGGCCAGTGCGGCGCCCGGTGCTGCCGGATGGCGACATCAACGTAGGTGGGGCGGAGACGGACCACACCTTCACGGTGCCATCTGCGGATCCGGAGGCAAGTAGAATGCGGTCGGCTGGGCCGTAGGCGGTGTTCTGCCCAAAGATAGCGCCGCACGTGGTAGGGAGGACGCAGACGGCCCAGACGGCGTCAGTATGACCATCAAGAACGGCTTTGGGGTCTACGCGACCACGCTCCCACACGCGAATGGATGCATCCTGACCACCAGAAAAGACCCAGCCGTCACCTTGGGCTCGTCCACCGCTCGCAAAGTTTGCGGATGGGAAGTAGGATGTGAGGCACATGACCGAGCCGTTGTGGCCACGGTGAGTGAAGTAGGGCTGGATGTCGAGGTCGTTTGCGCCGCTGTGGATTCCATTTTCGTAGCGTGCTGGGATGATCCATCGCTTTACGACTCCGTCATCACCGGCCGTGCATAGTTCTGGCTCACCTGGGCTGCCACCGCCGGTAAATATCACCGATCGCACAACATCCAGGTGACCTCTAAGGCCGAAGCGGACCTTGAAGTTGCCGTCTACCTTCTGCGCAACCCCAAGACTCAGTTGTTCGCCATCTGCACTCTTCCTGCGCGACCCCGAGCTTCGCCTCCTTTGCGCGTTTCTCTTTGGCGACTTTGGTAGCTCCTGTGGCGCGATTGGGAAAACGTCGGTGTCGGGCCTCGACGGCATGACCTTGACCTCAGGGGCAGGGAATTCAGAGGTTTCGCCAAAATCCCAGCCGTCAGCCTCTGTTTGGGCCTCCTTTCGAGGCTCTACTACTGTCTCGTTTTCGGCTGGCCTGCTGTAGTTGTCGAAGGTATGGTTGACTTGGGCAGCTTGGTCCTCCTCGACAGGTTGACTTTGTTGAAATTGGTTCTGGTATTGCTCCCGCACTGGTTCCTGTTGATATTGATCGCGAACCATTGGAATGGCTTGGGCGTCATTATTCCGTAAGGGCAGGTTTTGCTGGGCCTGCTGCGGAGCCTGCTGGTTGGCTTGTTGAGACTGCCGGGCGATATCGCGCATGCTCTGCTTTGGTAGATACATCTCCTCTAGCGCTTGTTGGCTCTGTGCCGCCTGCTCTGCCTGGCCAATTTCCTCCAGGGCCAAGTTATGTTGCGCTTGGGGCTCGCGTGGGGGTTGTGGGTTGGATGGCGAGACCATGAGATATGTGAACTCGTTCGCACACCCGTCGAGGTAGGTCTTCAGACCTGATCGGTCTGGGTCTTCCTCTTTGTCGGCATCGCCCGGTTGCTGGACTGCGAATGACGTGGTCGGCTTCTCAGGTGCAGCTTCAGAAACGTCAGCAAATTGTCTAGTGGTCTGTGACTTAGAAGACGTACTCCTAGTATGAGGCTTCAATTTCGAAGCTTCAGCGAGTTCACCGTCCTTCACTTCTTCTGCGACGCCATTGGCTGTCTTGTCCTTCTTGCGCTCGGCTGCAAGTGCCTTTTCTAACATCTTGACATATTTCCTCAGCCCCTTCTGTTGTACATCTGATCTCCGTCCATTTCCCTCTAACGCCGCAATGCGCACCCTCATCTCCTGGCGCTCAATCTCCCATCCGTTGCGGTCTCTCTCGTGGCGATGCCATTCGGTCTGTAGGAATCGCATAACACCTAGATGCCTTCAGTCAGCTGAAGTCCTGTGCTTTAGCAATTTCTGCAGCTCCTACCTTGCAGAGTATATTCGGTGCCCTGGGGCTGGTTGGACTGGCTGGTGCCATCTCCACTGCTGCCATTGCCTCCCAAGCCTTGGGGGCCCTGCCACGCCATCACACTGCAGCTCTACGCCTTAAACGCGCTTCGAAGAAGCTGCTAACACTATTAGACACCTTATATGCGAGTCGAATCGTCAATCATCAGCTGCGAAACGCGGAAAATCACAGCTTCGTGCGTCAGGGGACGGAAAGCTGGTTGTCGTCGGCCCCCAATTTCTCTCAGCGCATAGTGGCCGAGAGAATGAGAAATGTTGAGATATAAATTGGTATTTCGACGCCCAGAGAATTTGTCTTGGGCGTGGATATCTGTCGTTCAAAGAAAAGTTTCGTTGGCGCCCTGATGTTCGAGATTCTTCCAAGGCGTTGTTGAGCTTCCAGTACGGGAGATGATCGTTTGGTTTGGGTGATGATCTTGATGCCTGAGGCGACGTTGCGTTGTCCTCGACTGGACTGGATGGCCTTTTGTCTGAGCACGTGACAGCTGCAATTTATAGAAGCAACCACAAAAGTACAAGTTGCCCTGAGGGGCACGTGACATTTGAAACACAAAAGTACAAAAACACGCGTACCGTGGAAAAAAAGGCCCAATGGGCTGAGTGAGCACGTGATGCGCCGCGTTAATTCTACGTCTACCTGGTGCGAAGCGTTTCTGTGGATACATTTCCATATCTCGACTTCTCCAACTCCTTAATTCCAACCCCGAGCTCTTACCAACCCCATCATCGCCGTCGCATCCCTCTACGCCGTCGCCGACTATCTCCTTCATCAGATAAATATATCTTTTGACTCTCTTCCGGTTCATCCGTAGCACTCGTCACCATGGGTATCAGTCCGCAAATGTAGGGCACACCAATTTTCCCCCTCAATGCGCCGTGCGTAAATGCTGACGGCGTGCCATCTAGTTCCAACCTGGTCATCATCCTCGGGATGATGCAGGTCTCCAAGAAGGTCGATTTTGAGAACCCAGATGTCCTCAACATTGTCCGTGGACTGTATGTTGCATCCAATGTGATCATCGCCATGGTGTACTTGTACGTCCAGTCGCAGATCAACAAGAAGAAGGGTACGTTGCGTGTGTCCTATGCTCTACATACCATATGTGTAGCACAATATCAAGAGGATACCCTTGCTGACCCTATCGCGCAGACCTTAAGACTCTCAAGTACGTTGAGCCCTCCGCCATGGGATCGACCGAGGAGCCCAAGCTCGTCACCACGACCGTCCACGCCTACGATATCCAGCAACTCCGCGCTCTGTTCAAGTCGCAGCTTATGGGTGTCGGCATGATGGCCGTGATGCACTTGTACATGAAGTACACCAACCCGCTCCTGATCCAGTCCATCATCCCTCTCAAGGGCGCCTTCGAGGGCAACCTCGTCAAGATCCACCTCTTTGGACAGCCAGCTGAGGGAGATCTCAAGAGACCCTTCAAGGCCGCCGCATCCTTCATGAGCGCGCTTCAGCAGGGTGGTGAGGTTGCCAGCGACAAGAAGGCTGTCGAGGCTGCTGAGAGGGCTGGCCGTGGTGGTGCCAAGGAGGAGTAGGGGGTTGTAGACGTGGGGATTGGGAATAGACTTGCATTGAAGTTGAGAAGCTCATAATGGTTTAGGGGCTTTCACAGTAGCAATTGTACAGTACGATGTCATAAAACTTTAACGATTACTGTGAACTAGATAATACTAAGTGTCTTTCTAACGCCAATCATCATGACTTGTCTTGAGTTGAAACACATGTACTGCAGGCATATGATCAAGTGAAATAATGCAATATGCTCTTACAATGTAATATAGAAATATTATATTACTATATTATGATACTTGTCCCAAGGCTGATAGTTAGCCTATTGCCTACCACTATGTTGCCTTCGGCATGGTCGGCATCCGCTCTCAGCCGCGTGAGTCAATGTGCCGCCACCACCGTCAGCCTCGCCGAAACATGAACCCCGAACCACAACCTTAACTTTAACTTCTCAGCTTCACAACACTGAACATAACGCCATAAACACCGCATATATCAACCCCGCCATGGCCGACCCATCGCGCCCTTCAACTCCTCCGCCCGCCTCCTCTAACCCTCCCCAACGCACCCCAGAAGCAGCCCGCCGCCTGGTAAGCCCGCCGCCCCATTCTGAATAACCCCTCTAACCCTCTCCCAGGAAGAACAGAGACTCAAAGCCAAGTCTCTCTATGACCGCCGCCGTCTCGCCGCCGCCTCCGCAGGCTCAGACCCTTCAACAACAACCACAACAACTCCCTCCGGCTTCCTTGCCTCCCCACTCAAACGCCCCGCCGCCGCTATCTCAACCAGCGCATACGCCTCGTCCGTCCCTTCGACGTCGCGCGATGCGCGCGCAGATACAGCGGGGGAACCGAGGATAGAGGCAGCGAGGAAGTTTAGGAAGTTCGTAGATCATGATTTCAGCACTGTGGTGGATACGAAGGGAGGTTTTCTGGCGGAGGAAGATGGAGGGGTGGGAAGCGCGGGGAGGGGGAATATGGGCGGTGATGGAGGGGATGGAGGGAGACCTGCGCATATGACGCTGGCAGAGTGGGAGAGGTTGCAATTGAAAAAGTCGCTGCAGCGCAGGAAGGAAGGACCGTTTGAGCCGGGGCTGAGTGTGTTGGAGGGAGGAGAGAGGAAGAAGTGTAGGGAATGCGGGAGTTGGGAGATAGATTGGGTGTGGGAGGAGGTGTTTGGGACGGAAGTTTGCGCGAGGTGTAAAGAGAAGTTCCCGGAGAAATACAGCTTGTTGACCAAGACGGAGGTGAAGGATGATTATCTCCTGACCGATCGTGAGTTCCCCCCTTTCCCTCGATATCCTTGGCGGTTGCTGGCAGTTGCTCGCATACCCCTTGGTACCTGCGGACTTGGACTACCGAGATCAATGATGAACTAACAAGGCGCAGCGGAACTCAAGGATCCCGAACTCCTCCCGCACCTGTCCAAGCCCAACCCGCATAAATCTCACTGGCACGACATGATGCTCTTCCTGCGGTACCAGGTTGAGGAGTATGCGCTCGGGCCCTCGAAATGGGGTTCGGCAGAAGCTCTCGACGCCGAGTTTGCGAAGCGTGAGGCGGATAAGAAGAAGCGCAAGGAGGAGAAGTTTAAGTCGAAGCTCACAGAACTGAAGCGGAAGACGAGGGCGGAGCATTATAGGCGGGCGGCGAGGGAAGGGGGAGCGGGGGGCACGTTTGGGGATAAGGTTGGCGGAGGGAGGCATGAGCATGAGTGGGGAGCTACGGTGGAGGATGCGGGGAGGACGGTCAGAGCGTGTGTGGAGTGTGGGATGGAGGTGGAGGAGGTGGAGTTGTAACTCCGGGGAACTGGTATGGGATTCGTATTTCAATGCCTGTTATGCGCTGGTGCATCTAGGGATCGCCCTAATAATGTTGGGGTTGAGATCCTAGTTTCGCAGAACAGGAAGGAACTGATGCATGGATATCACCAGTGAGGTATTGCTGCATGTCCGCACGGCAGAGGTGTTATTTCCACCATCTCCTGAAATGACAGGGGGCTCTTGACGGTCCCTGCTACGTGTCCGCACGGCAAGATATGGTGATGGGCCGCGACTTACATCACTCTTGGAAAATATCAAGATAATGAATCGGGAAGACACCTACGAGTAATATGCCGGTGATATTCTTACCAGCCTACGAGGCGCAAAGAGATCTTCGAAACAGAAATTTCTATCGCTAGGTCTGAGTTGATGCATAACGGCATGTCGAAGCAGGCACAACCATGGTTGGCCTACTGTAGATATACAATACGACGTCGCGGGAAAAAGGAAAACTGTACCTTGTATGATACTTCCGACTCTTATATAGCTCTAGACTTAACTTGGGGTTGATGGGGATGCACGAGTATCGCCGTGGTGACGACATGTACATATTGGAGTGCGGGGAATGCATACAACTTATGAGACTTGTCCGGCTTCTTTCCGAGCCTCTTTTTTCTATTTTGTTTTTTCCTTTTCAATTTATCCTCAACTTTCCCTTGGCTTACCCTCAACTTATCCTCGACTATCCCAACTCATTATTGATGTATCCTACATAATAAGCGCATGGAGGCGTCGATTGATGACGATGCGGCGTCACAGACCGCGGTGAGATTTGGTGGTCGACGGTCGACGGGTTATCAAGTCCGCAGATGCACAGCTTCATGGAAGCTTAATGAAGCTCGAAACGCGGGGTAAGACCTAGCCATGTCTAGACATTGACCGGAGGTTAGGTTTTACTTGGCTACTGGGCAAACTAGCCCTACGAATGAAATTTAATTGTTTGCCACCGAAATCTTATTATTAACCTTTTTTTTTCTTAGTGGTGGAATAGTTTAGGTTAGCTTCAAAGTATCAAGCACCACCGAGAGTCGCCGAGAGCCTTCAACGAGCCGTCTCACGTGTTATTTCACCCGTCCAGGGGTCGATCTTTCCTTATCCTAGGGTTGTCTCCATAACCCTAAGATAAGGAAAGATCGACCCCTTTCCCCGCAAATTCGGAGTCGTCGACTGGTGATTCTCACAACAGATATCGGATTCTTTTGCGGGTCAACGGCCAGGAAAGATAACGACTAATGTGACGATACTTCTTTTAGTAGAGCAGATATGTGGACTCCACACACCCTCGTAGAGGGCTTATAACAGTAGGTTTGTCCGCCTCTCTCGGCATCTCTTATCTCTTTCTTCATCTCTTCCTCCCTCCCCCTCTTCTCATCAATTTTTCCTCAATTCTTCCTACCTACCTGTAAAAGAGCCGGTAAAATTTCCTGTCTCTCTCCTCTCCTCTTTACCCCTCACCATCATGGTGCAAGACACAGAGAAGCAGGCCAACGACCCGTCGTCGCCCCGCCACTCTCTCGAAAAAGTCGACGAGATTGAAGATGAGACGCCGCCAGTGGTCCTTGACAAGGCCGCCGAGCGCCGCCTTGTCTGGAAATTCGATCTTCGCATCCTCCCTACCCTCGCCGTCATGTACCTCTTCAATACCCTCGATAAGACGAACCTCGGCAACGCCAAAACTGCCGGCCTCGAGAAATCCCTTGGCATGGAAGGCACAAACCAATACAGTCTCGTCCTGTCTATTTTCTTCATCCCATACGTGTTGACGGCACCGTTCCTTGCCATTCTGGGCAAGAAGTATGGTCCCAACCGTGTGTTGCCAGCGATGATGGTCGTCTTCGGGACGTGCACAATGTGCGTCGCTGCCGCCGAGAACTTTGCCGGCCTCATGACCATCCGCTGGTTCCTAGGCATGGCCGAATCCGCCTTCTTCCCTCTCGTCATCTACTACCAGACGACCTTCTACAGACGCATGGAGCTGGCCCGCCGCCTTGCCATCTTCTACGCTGGCCAGTCCATCGCCTCTGCCTTTGGTGGCCTCCTCGCCTTTGGCGTCTTCCGCATCAAGTCCGACGTCTTGGAGAGCTGGCGCTTTCTCCCATTGATTGAAGGTGCCGGCACCGTCCTCTTCTCCATCTTTGCCTATTTCTACCTCCCGCGCAATGCCGCGACGGCGCACTTCCTGAACGACGACGAGAAGATCCTCGCTGAGGCACGTATGCTGCTTGATTCCTCTGCGTCCGAGGACGACGATGGAGTCTTCAACCTGCGTGATGCTGCAGTCATCTTCCAACACCCGACCACCTGGGCCATCCTTGTCATCGAGATCTGTCTCGGTGTCCCACTTCAGGCCGTCCAGCTCTTTCTGCCACAAATCATTGGGCGTCTCGGCTACGACGCAGTCAAGACGAACCTGTACACCGTGGCTCCCAATGTGTCGGGGGCTGTAATGCTATTAATCCTGGGTTTCGCTAGTGATCTGACGAAAAATCGATGGGTATTTATTGCGCTGGGATTCATGTTCACGTTTGTTGGCATGGTGATCTATGCTGGGATCGATGTCGAGGAGAAGTTGAACGTTGCTTACTTCGCCAGTTTCATGATGACCTGTATGCTTTCCCTACTTTTTCCCCCTTTAACTAAGAATCTCCCCGCTAACAAACTATAGGGGGAACCTCGGCTCCATCGGTCATCCTCGATGTCTGGTACAATAACAACACGCCGCATCCCTCGCGCCGTCTGCTCCTTACCTCGGTCGCCGTCCCGCTTGCAAACCTCATGGGAATTGTCGCCTCCAACATCTTCCGCGAGCAAGACGCGCCCAAATACATCCCGGCGCTCGCCACAACGGCGGCATTCGGTGGTTTGGGGTTTGTCTGCACAGTGTTGCTGGGTCTGTGGATGGCATGGGATAATAAGAGGAGAGATTCTAAGGAGGGTATCCGCAGGACGGTTGGTGGGGTTGGCGCGGTGGCGACGGAGAGGTTACGAGAGGGGCCGGGGGCTCCGGAGTTCAGATGGTTCCTGTAGGGAATTGGGGTGGACGCGGGTAGTCCTGTGCGGGTGGAAACGGAACTTTGTACGTACTCGAGGAGACTGGAAGCTGCTCTGTATAGTTATGGTATCCGGATGGGAAAAGTCCCTTATTGATGACAATGATAGCGAACCATTACATGACGTCGTGGTTGTCCGTGTGCAGTGATAGGCGTTTGAAAGTGAGAATTACCCCGCTAACTCGAATGCACAACCTATGAATTGGCCTGACCCGGAGCTGAACGGACGATTATATAAGTGCCTACTACAGATCATTCAACTGCTTGCTGGAGTAGGCTATAAGCCACACCAGATGCCGGCGGCTTACGTTAGCACTAGCGGCAGGCACTGAGGAGAAGCTTCCTGCGACGGAATGTGTGCGGATCCGCGTATCACAGACGTATCACAGACGCTGTAGGCGCTGGGATTGAGATCCAGATTCCTCCACAAGTAGATATATGGATGCATGATCTGGTAACATGACGAGGAGGACCTAGAAAGGTAGGCTTCAGCTGGAACTCGAGGTGAGAAGTGGTGATGACGAGATCATCGTGATAGTGGGTAATAGGCAGGGATCGACAGTAGCTGGTGGCGGGGTATAGTATCATCCATATATAAGGAAGACACATGCCACTACATGTAGGTATGTGCTCCTGTAGCTCTGATAACTATGGCCTCATTAAGCAATATGTCTGCTTTCGAGCAATGGTTAGACAAAGCCGCAACCCGCGGCCCTGACCGTGTGATTCCGAGCTCCGCCGCCATCGCGGTGACTAAAGATGGTATGTCCATCTCCATGTATTGACTATAAAATGATAAATTGTTCCAAGTTGACCTTCTAAGGAATTATATACTCCCACTCCGCCGGCACTCAGTCAGAAGACCCGGCCTCTCCGCTATTTGACAAGCCCCTCTCCCCGGACAACTCAATATGGATCGCCTCCGCCACTAAACTTATGACCTCCATCTCCATCCTCCAGCTCTTCGAGAAAGGTCTCGTTGACCTCGACGCAGATGTCTCTTCCGTGCTACCCGAGTTCGCAAACCCCGACGTGTTCATAAAGTTCAACGACGAGGGCGAACCAACCTACGAGAAAGCCATCAAGAAAATCACCATCCGAATGCTCCTAACCCATCAGAGCGGCATGGGATACAACTTCTTCCACCCGTATATCCAGCAAATCCGCGACTTCAAGGAAAAAGCAGGCGACGCCGTTCCCTCCAAACTCACATGGGTGCGTTGCGTTAACCCCCTCCCTCTTTCCCCACCCCTTCTAACCCGCCGCCCAGGAATCCCAACTCAACCCCCTCCTCGCCCAACCCAGCACCCAATGGACCTACGGCTCCTCCTACGAGCTCCTCGGCCGCCTCCTCGAGCGCCTAACCCACACCTCCCTAGGTTCATACATGCAAACCCACATCTGGCACCCCCTCTCCATGTCCCCCATATCCTTCTCCCCCTCCGACCCCGCCATCGCGTCATCCCTCGCCGACGCCACACTCCGCGGGCCAGACAACACCTTCTTGCCGGCGCCTAACCACTTTTACCACGAGGGCGCGGAATTCGAGTCCGGTGGCGCGGGAATTTTCGCTGCGCCGAGCGCGTATGGGAAGCTCCTTGCTGCTATCTTGCGGGATGACGGGGCGCTGCTGAGGCCGGAGACGATGGCGATGTTGTTTGAACCGCAGTTAAGCCCCGAGGTACAGCCATATTTCAACGCCGCGGTGTACGCCGAGGGCGCGGAGGTCTTATCGCAGTCTCTGCCGCGGGAGGCGAGACTTACGCAGGCGTTGGGGGGTGCGGTGTGTCAAGCTGATGTGGAGGGGAGGAGGAGGAAGGGGACGCTGATGTGGGCGGGGTTGGCGAATTGTTATTGGAGTGTTGATAGGGTGAGGGGGGTGGCGCTGTTTTGGGGGAGTCAGATTATGCCGACGAGTGATAAGGGGGTGTTGGATGGGTTTAGGAGGTTTGAGGAGGGGGTTTATGGGGGGTTGGTTTAGGGGGTTGAGGTGTACGAGTTTTGGGAGCATGGAGAAGGGAGATTTTATGATTAAATTGTTCGGTTTTAGGGGAAGGTAAGTCATGTTTGGAATGTATTTATTCGTTATTTTGGGTCTGCTTTGGCTGGCTATCCCTCTCCTCGCCCTGTATCCCCCCCCAAATTGCGCTCCCAAGCCCATCATCGCAAGGCATAGAGCAAATAGCAAGACCTAGCTAATAAAGCTAAAACGTATCGTAACACCTCATCTGTGGCCGTGACGTGGCTCATACACCCCCTTCCACGCATCTATATCATCATCATCATAATGCATCGCTAACGCTAGCGGTAAGCTCAACACAACACACACGGCGCCGAAAGCCAAGCCATAATTGGCAGAACAGTGAAGCAACCAACTCCTCCTCCATACGACGGTTCGTGTCATTGTTACACGGCCTTCTTTCACTCCTCAACAGCCACAACGAGTACTTCCCCGCCCACACCATCATCGTCATCTGCAGCATCGGGACTTGCGCGGCGCGCGAGCATGCTCATTCCCATATGCATAACCGGTGCAGGACTCCTAAAAACACATTAGTTTCAATGCTCCCTAAAAAAAAAAAGGCGGAAAGCAAAACTCACTCAGACTTCCTCTTCCTCACAATCGGCCCAACACTCCCCCCACCCCCCCTGCCAGGACTACTACTACTCCCCCCCGACCCCGTCGTCCTCGGGCTCGTCGGCCCCGGACTCCCACTCCTCCTCCCCCCTCCCCCCACCCCCGGACTCCCCCGATGATGACTAGGACTACACTTCACCTTCCTCGCCTTGCACTCCCCGCACGCCCCCAGCCTACGCACCGCAGCAGCATGCTCGCGCTGCTCCTTGCTTAACTCCCTCCTCTTGGGTCGCTTATCCACTGAGCTCGCTGGACTACCACCCGCTGCGCCGCGTCCGTCGTCGGAACTGCCAACGCGCGCTGCTACGCTGGGTAATGGCATCCTCGCCGCAACCGTAACTACGCCTCCCCCCGCTCCTCCCTCCCCAACACCCCCAACAGCAAGAGGCCTGCGATAATAACTCGCCAACTCCCTCTCCCTCTCCTCCTCACTCTTCCCACTACTCGGCGGACTCGCGACCCTCCACGCCGCCGACGCAGCCGGAGGCGGATACGGCGGCAACGGCGCTCTCCGTCCGGGCGTGGCACTCGTCGTCGTCGTCGTCGTAGTAGTAGTCGGTCCCACATCCTCCGCCAACGGCGACTTAACAGGTGGACTATCCGTCGCAACAGCACCACTATCCGTTCTCCTCCTCTGCGCGGGCGGCGCAAACCCATCTCCGCCTCTATACCCCGCCTCAGCACCACCGTACCTCATAGCGAGGAACCCATTGAACCCGCCCTCTACATTCCCCGCCCCGAGACCGAGAAGGAAATCTTTGGTGTGGCGGATACAGCTCTTTGCCCAGCCGTCGCGGTTAACCAGCCTCTGCGTTGCCACCAGCGCATCACGGATAGGTGGTTGCACAGCCGGATTCGCATCGCGCGACCAGTCCCTCAGAAGCGGATCGCGGAGCTCAAGCGGCTCCTTCGGGCACCACGCAGACAGCTTAGCAGACCACGCGAACACAGACACCAAAATTTTATGCGCGGTCGCCAATCTCGCCGCCGCGTCATGAGGGGACGATTGGTGCGGGACGGGGGTGTCGATCAGGAGCGTCTTGGTGATAGAGAAGAGACAGAGGCTGTGGAAGGCGGCGAGCCAGGCGGAGGGGGGTAGTTCTTTGCGGTTCGTGAAGCGGGTGTCGAACGCGAGGAGGAAGGCTGTTAGGGGGGTTGTGAGGGAGGGGGGGTTGGTGGGGGGGGTAGAGGAGAGGGCGAGGCGGTAGCGGATGGAGGTTAGGAGGAGGGTGGTGGCGAGGGTGTAGAGGTGCCAGCTTGAGGGGTCGTTCTGGGGGTGTGTTAGTTGGGATGTATTTTATAGTTTGGGGGGGGGGGGGGGGTGGTGGTAGTGTGACGTGAAAAGGGGAAAAGGGGAAAAAGGGGGACATACACAAGCATCCATAGCATCTCTCCCCACCCTCAACAGCGCAAACGGATTATAAGCCGTCCGTCCCAAATACGCCCTATCCAACACCGTCGTCTTCAACAACCCCACTGCAGGCCCATACTCCTGCAGTAACCGCTTATACGCCGCATCGGTCAGATCAGGCGTCGTATCCATGATATCCGCGCTATTGAGGGACGACAGCTTGTGGCGCGAGTCCCAGAACTCGTCGTCGAGGGAGACGAAGCCGGGGTGGGAGGCTAGGAGGTAGTCGAGCTCGGCGGCCCAGAAGACGTCGGTGGTGGTGGGGGGCCCGGTTGAGGGGTGGGAGGGTTGTTCGAAGCCTGGTGGGGTTGGTTTAGAGTTTTTTTTTGGGGGGGGGGGATGAGTGTAAAAGGGCACGAACCGTGGAGGCACTTCCTCACCATCTCCGTCAGCGGGCCGTGGAAACAACCCAGTGCTTTCCACAGATCAGGTGCCATGACATCCTGTTGCGGACACTCTTTACAAGGGTTCTGGCAATCGCACTACGCAAGTCCAAGTCAGCAACCATCCTACTCTCATCCATTTCCCACTCCCATCCTTTTCACACTCCCACCCACTCCCACCAACCCCTCGAATCACAAAACATACCTTCTTCTTCAAAACCTTACACCTCAAACACGGCCCCGCCGTCCTCACCCCCCCAACCCCTCCTTGCCCCCCCGGCAAACTCAACCTCCCTCCCCCTCTCCTCCTCCCCTCCGCCTCCGGGGTCGGCAATAACGACGTCCTCTTCGAAAACGGACTTGGCGGCATCACCCCAAACCCATTCCCATTCCCCATCCCCACCACACTGCCCTTGCGTCCATTAACCCCCATCCTCTCCCCCTCACTCGAGCCCTCCCTACTCCCAAGTCCCCCAGAAGTAACATCCTCAAGACTCATCCCCGACGTCCTCCTCCTCACCACATCCTCCCTCCTCGCCTCCTCCGCATCCTCATGCAGTCCCATATGCCGTCTCAGCGCCTCCACAGTCTCAAACCCATAAACGTAATGTTTACACCCCAACTCACAGCACTTGTACTTCCCCCCCACCACAACTGCTGCTGCTCCGTCGCCGTCCACTGCGTCCCCATCCCGCGCGCCTTCGGTCTGGTGGGAGAGCATGAGGGTTTTGAATTCTTGGTTGTTGGCGAGCCAGTCTTTGAAGCGCTCGGTGCGGTCGGTGGAGGGCTCGGATTGGAGGCGGTGGTCGAGGGCGTCCCGGGCTTCGGTGTCGTCGCCTGGAGGGGGTGTTAGTATCAATGTATCAGTTACTGGTGATGGTCAAGGGGGTGGGTGATGGAAGTCACGTGATCGATCTTGTCGACTGAGCTGGTGAGAAGGGTAGGGGAGACGGGAGGGATGTACCAGTGCGAGCGAGCGAGGCGTGGATACTCTGGATCTGATACTCTAGATATCTGCACTCCTCGGCGTGGAGCTGGATATCGCTTGTAAGACCTGTCTGGGGTTAGCTTGATCTATATATATATCCCCTCTCAGTGGTAGGAGGTGTAACAAGGGTGCAATAAGGGAGCAAGTCACGGGACCAGAAGTGAAAGAGAGGAGCGCAGATGTAGATAGATGTGAATAGTAGTGATGAATGAATGAAAGGCGCTGATTTTTTACATTACCTTTCGCAGAGAGAAAGTCGTGCAGCAGCGACAGCCTCAAAGATAGCATGTCCCGCTCCCGCGACCAGAAGGACTCATCTACTATGCGCAGGGTGCGGCCGTCGCGGGGGTCGCGACGACGCGCCGTGGTGACCATGGCGTGGTGGATGGGTGTGAGATACGGCGTTGATTTGGTGGGTTAGTTGGATGATGGGTGGTGGTTCGGTGTGAGTGATGTGTGGTGAGTGGTGTTCGGCGTGTGTCGTTCGGCGTGGATTTGTTTGCGTGTTGTTCGGCGTGGTATGTGTGTGTGTTGTCCGGCGTGGATTTGTTTGCGTGGAAGAGAGGTAGATAGTACAGTATACGTGAAGAATATCCTCGGTGTGCGTCTGTACGTATGTATGTACTTCCCAATACGGTATAATAGTAGTAGTACTCCTCCCTCGGTGAGGCAGGCCCAGCAGTCCAGAGGCGAAAGAGCGGATATCCAGCAGCAGATCAAAGAATCGCGGTAGTAAGGATCGTGGAGACAAAAGGTCGATCGATCGATCGCAGATTGTAGTAAAGGTGTAAGTGTAAGGTAGAAAAGAGAGGAAAGACAGAAGCGGGAAAAGAAAGGAAACAAAAGTCACGCCGACCCGACCGACGGGCAGGTGTCGTCGCGGGCTGGCCTGGCCTGTCCTGTCCTGTGGTGGTGGGTGGGTGATGAGTGCGGGGCGGGGTGCGCGGTGTGGTGGTGTGCGCGGCGAGCAGCGTCGGCCTGTCGGTCGGGCGGTGGTCGGCAGAGAGAGCTGAGGGGAGAGAGACCGGGGGGTAGGGGAGGAGGCGGGGGGGAAGAGGCGGATGAAAAATGAAGCGGGAGGGACGGGGGGAAATGTGTACAGTATGGCACAGTACAGTACGGCACAGAGTTACGGAGGCACGCTGACTGATGGGCGTTAGGAGCTGGCAGGGCTTCAAATAAATGTCTCCCTTGTGCCTGTGTCTTCTACTTCTTTTTCAGCTGGACCCCTCTGGACCCTCTAGATGTCTAGATCTCTGGACCTCTGGACCCCTTCCGTTCCCCGCCCGTGTCTAGCCTTAGGGTGGATGTACCTTATCATACTATTTTGTATGGTGGTGTACATACATACTATGGAAATCCCATGGCGTCTCATTCTCCGACCGAGCTGCACGTTATCGCACGGTGAAGAAGACTAACGGTGGATGTACTCTCTCATACTTCGTAATACCGAAGTGTACATTATCTTCGGCCTACCTCCGCCCGTGTCTGGCGTGGCTGAGCCGCCCCATCCCCCATCATCACACTTTTCTCCCCCATTCCCCCGCCCCCCCCGCGATAAAATTGGTCCCATTTCACACCAATTAATGGGGTCCGGGGCGGGGGAGAATGGCCGAGGGTGTGTCTACGCGCGGAATATGTACTGCAACATGTGGGTGTGGGTGATCTGTGGGCTGGGCGGCACAGTGGGTGTCTGTCTGTCGGCCTATCCTGTAAGTAGTGGTGTATGATGTGCTGTTCATTCTGTTCATCCTGTGCTGTACTGTACTCACTCCCACCACGCCGCGTACACACACCGGAAACCCATCCCTACAAACACCAGACCGGCAGGAGCCCATATTACTGGTGTCCCTCTGCTCGGTCGCGGCGGAATGCCCGCCTTGATTGGTGTGCCCTCCTCCCCTCCACCCAGCGTGTTCGGTCTCCTCGGAGGTGGCCGGGTGGGTGGTGGCCGGGTGGCCGGGTGGGGGAATGCGCTGTGCTGTGCTGTGGGGTGCGGTGCGGCGTGGCGTGCGTTGCCGGGCTGCGCGGGCTACGCGGGCTGCGGGCTGAGAGGTGAGTGCGTGCGTGTGGGCGGGTTGGTTGCGGTGTGCCGAGATTGGGATTGGGAGGTGATGGGAGAGAGGGGGTGAGGGAAGAAGAGGGGGTGTGTGGTGTGTACGTGTGTATGGTGTATGGTATGTGGTGTGTGTCTGTGGTGTGTGCGCCGGGGTGGGCGGGATGTGCGAAATGAGGGGTTCGCCGAGGTTGAGAGGCGGGTTGGAGTGGTGTCAGTGAGGGAGAGGGAGGGTGAGACACGTGATGGGCTATCTCTTCGGTATCTCCCCGGGAAGAGATACAGTAGAAAACGGCAGGTGCGACCGAACTACTACGCGTACCTGCTATAAGACATAGGGAAGGAGGGAGGAACAGGCGGCAGCATGTCACTCCCTCCGTAGTGTGATCCCGTGACTACCCGCTGCCGGCCGCCTGTTGTTGCCATGGGGAGATAAAATCAGATGCGGAAGACGGAAGATGCAGAACATGCAGAACACACACACACACGCCCAGGGATGAAACACAGCTGAGGGTACATACGATATGCACGGCAGAATACCTGTGATCGCATGTACCTCTGCAGGGCTGCGGGGGGGTTATCTGCATCGTCCCGCACATCTTGTTTGTACCTGATCATGATTACTAGAAGTACCTTGATAAGTGTGTGTCCGTGTGTGCTGTGTACCTTTTTTGTTTGGTCCCTTTGTACCCACCCCACCCCACTCCTTCCCCGGCTTCTCCCCGGCTTATCACTTCCGACACCGGACAACACACCGGACACCGGACACTGGACACCGGCCGTTCTTTCCTTTCGGCGAGGTGTTATGTTCAACACGTGATTTTCACCATACACTCAACACAACACGTGATTCTCACGGTATACTCCCCCAAGTGAGTGCCACTTACATATCTACTTTGTACAGTACAGCATGTTTTTCCTAGAATAGATAAGGTAAGTCGCAGATGGTATCTGTCATCATCAACATAGAACCACTATGAGGCGACTATGAGATAGCCGCTGCTAGACTGGTGTCAAGCGCTCCTGCCGCTGTAGGCTGTCGTGTATCAGGCGCTCTTGCCTTCCATCTATAGCAAGCGCGAGGGTGTAAACCCGCTCCTGCCACAGTAAGTTGTCGTGTCGTATATCAACCGCTCCTTCCCAACCAAAGCCAAAACTACTACCATTCATGGCAAGAGCGAGGCTGAGGCTTCAACTGTGCTCCTGTCACAGCAAGAACGAAGCCGTGCCTGCCATAGCCATATGAACGGCATTTAACTTCGCCTTTCCCGCCATATTCTCCATTCACAAACTTGCCAACTACACAAATGTCGACAGCTGTCGTGGACACGGTGAAGTCCCAGATTTCTTTCTCACTCTGTTCACCTCTGTAATTTCCATTTACTTGACGATGCCACCCCTGGTATGATGGCAACAGCCGCGGAGTGCCTGATGAGCCCCTGTTGGGCATACCTGCATATACAGTCCAGTGCTTGGCTATATCACCACCTAGCGAATCATCTTGATGTTTGACGATTGTGCATAGCCTCGCATCGCCAAGCCTTCTCTGGTTAACATCCATGAGTTCAGTCTCCAGCATCGTCGAACGATAACCACAAAACTGCCGACGCCGAAGTCTCAGCTTCAGACCTCAACAATGTCTCAAGTCGCGCCACAAGTTGACGTCGGCGGTCTCACGCTCAATGGACTCGCAGCATTCGCACCAGTCCTCTCAGCCCTGTCTGCTGACGACGTGACACCACTGGCCATGGTTCAGATGGAGAACTTGGGCTCTCTTTTTCATATCAACGGGCAATACGCTCTCCAGGTCCCAGATCTCCTTCAGCGATGCAAAAGCACTCGGCTGGATCGGCTCGGTCTACTCGTTGGCTGGCGGAAAGGCGATTCGGCGTCGTTGATGGCCCAGTCTGCGGGAGGTCAGGCTATTTCACTACTTTCAATGTGCATACTAAATCTCTACGATGAGTTTAATACAGGACGACTACTTTCTGGGCTGAGCAAAGCCATGCTGTCCCAAACCGTTGCAATATCAAGCCCATCACAGCTCGTCAAGGTCGCCAGGACTCTCAGTTCTAAACTTGAAGTGCTGGGATTCGGCAACATTCTCGCCTCCCAGGTCGTAAGGGTTTATGACGCCTACAAACACTTTGGAAAACCTGTACCAGGTAACTTTTTGGACAAGATTACACCAGAATCCATGGCGGAACTGTTGCATGCCATTACACGGGCCATCCGAGAAGAATCCATCATTGTTCGTATTCGTGGCTCTCAGTCGATGGGGCTTATCTTGGCGATTGTCACGATAATGTTTCCCGAAGATGCGTTTGTCACCATGGAGAATGTGATAGTCTTTGAGGGGCTACGGAAGTCAATACTGGTTGAGTTTACGGACTCCGATGGGTTCGTAAACTTTCAAATAGAGTCGAAACTACAGATCCACAAAACAGTCCCCATTCTCCCGATAGTAGAAGGCATCAAGACACCTCCCAATGAGGGGTACTGCTACAAATGGACTGGATGCATGGCGGATATGCTGCAAGTTATGTTTATGGAAGACGGAATGATATGCCCCGAGCCTCTCCGGATTGCGTGTTGCGCCACGCTAGAGCCGTTGGCCAAAAAATTGGACGGTGTTGACCATCGATCTGATACAACGGGCTTCCGAAGAGGTCATGGTGCCATCAAATTATTGGGGCCCTATCCTCATGAGCGTATAGACAAAATCTGCCAGAAGCTCTGGAGAATACCACCAGGTTGGGCTAAGCCTCCATCATCTGTGGAGAGCGCATTCCATGATTTAGTACTGGCATTCGATGAGGCGACACCCACAGTCTCCTGCAGTTGCATAACACAGACGCGATGTTCTACGGAACTTGGCTGGCAGTTTCATGACCATCTCAGCAGGAATTGGTCTTGCTCACTCTATCGATTGTGGAGTGCGGTTGGAATGGCTATTAGTTGTGGATTCGCTTGTTTATTTGTTGATGCAGACGATTGTGCAACCATTCCAAATCCAATTGCGCTCACGTTTCGATCGGCATATCTAAACATTATACTAGATCTTCTGGATCAGACGCAAGATTTTTATGCTAAGAATGCTGAAAATAATAAGTATGACTATTGCGAAGTCATCCACCGCTATATAATGACGACCTGTACCAGGACGAACCGGGATTTTGCTGGTAATTATGTTGCTGGTAGTTCGAATTCGAGCACAGTCTACATGGCAGCACTTCAAACGCCTCAACTTCCAAATAAAATGAATGCCCCATTTATTTTAATGGAAGGCCAGCTTGTTTTTAATGGTCGATACCACGCGTCGCTCAAGGCCGTTGGGCCAGTTAGGCCAGATGCGGAAAATAATATACACCAGGGCCAGCAAATAACCCCGTCTAGTATTGGAGAACACTCTAGTTTGGAGATGACCATAGTAGAGAGTATTTCCTCCCTTGAATTAACCTCGACTATTCGTGTAGGAGGCGAAATTGCGCATCTCGTACTTGGGCATACAATCATTGCTTCATGGGCAGTTCGCGAGACAGAGCCATGCGATCACCCACCAGATACGCCCTTGGAATCACAGCACGAAGATGCCGTGTTCACGACGTCTGTCGCATCCCCCCTGGCAAGCAAGGGGAAGCTTGCGATTGTGCAGGTTTCGCGAAACCCAGTTGCGCAGCTGTTTGCCTGTTGCCGTGGCCGACCTACACTATTACAGGCGGATTGCTGTCTGAATTGTGCCTATGAGGAGGCAGCCAAGAGAAAATGTCATATGATTTTAGTCGCATAACATTGTCATATTTCACTCAAGATCTGTTCTGCTTCTAATGGATATCTCGTTCACGAATATACCGACCTTACTTGACAATCCAAGGATACGAATGTCAATATAAATGAACCCCCTTAACCACAACAATCCCCACCACAAAACCATCCATCAAAACCCTAACTGACCTCCAACCCCATTTCACCTCCCCCCCCAACACACTACCCTCCTCCCCAACACCTACGAACAAGGACACCTCTCACAAGCATTATTACACCCCACCCCCAGCCCCAGCCCATTCCAGAAGTTAACCCCGGCATTCTTCTTATTCCGCTCGAAGGCCTCCCGGTCCCCTTCGTTGGAGCAGTCGTACCCGACGCAGCTGCTTACGCAGTCGTCGTTAGGGATGCAGGCGTTGGCGAGGGTGGGGAGGGGGAGGAGGGCGAGGAGGAGGGTGGGGATGAGAGAGGCAGAGGGAGGAGGGGGAGGAGGGGGTGGGGGAGGTGAAGAAGAAGAAGGTTGATGGGCAGCCGAAGGGGCCGAATCCGGTGAGTGTTAANNTTAATTTTTGGGTGGTGGTCTGGGGTGAGGGCTGTTAGTTGGGGGGCTATAGGGGTTGCTTGCGGGGTGGTAAAGGAGGGGAGGGGGGCGTACGGTGGTGTTTATTTGAAGAGGGGATTTTGTGCTTTGGAATTCGCGGATTGTAATCTTTACTGTTGGTTTTCAATGAAGGAGAAAGATGGCAGAAGTATATAACTGCCGGCATCTCTTCCTTCTTTGTACTCCCCCATTTCCCTGTCCCTCCCTACATAATGGTGGAATCTGTTTTATTCCTGCACCACACTTTTCATTCCATATTAGCACTTTCTCTATAACGAAGCAAGCTGGTTGAGATATAGTACAATCTAAGAATTAAGCACTTCATTCGTTGCTTTGGGGTTGGTTTTTTGAGCCGGGTTTGTAGGAGGATGACGGTGTGGGTGGGTGTGGGGTGATCGGGATCGGGGGGGGGGTTGAGATCGTGGTGCCTGGGTTTGATGGGGGATGGTGTGGTTTTGGGCGAGGAGGGGGGTGAAGGTGTGGATATTGTCGTGGGGTTGAAAGCTTGTATTACACGGGGTTGATGAGACTGGTGCTACCTAGGTGTCTTTTTTTTTGGGGGGGGGGGGGGGGTATGGATACCTGGGGGTTGATACCGGGAATTTACCGCGATAGGATTTATTTCTCTTGTTTTATTTTTAAGTAAATAGCTTATTAATTATTGCCCTAAGCCATTAAGTTCCTACGTTTTGATTGGGGGTTTGAAAACGCTGTGGGTGAGTTAAATATTTTACTATATCCATCTCGGTCACAACACAAGCCGCAAAGCCAACAGGAATTAGCTCTAGTTGGCGGTGCGACGAGGAAAACATGGGGCTATGACAGTCTTGTTTGGAGCGGATGGCGGCTGAAATACTATGACGGTAATGTCTCGGATCTCGCTGGTGATCTATCACAATGCCGATGAGGCATTGGAGGCTGATTCTTGGTGGTAATGCGGGAGATGACCGTTTTATATAGGTAAGGGCAAAGATCGGCGTTGAGCGTAGGGGTTGTACGATGTAAGACGGGGTAGTTTGGGTGGATCTTGGGGAGGATTTGATAGTACCTGTCTTGGATGGGTGGGAGCTGTTTTTGTCTTGTTTGCTAGGTTAAATCTAGTGATAGAGAGCCTTTGATGTTGTGCGTTCGGAGGAAGACGGCATGGGCATCAAATATATATTCAATTTAGGGCATATGATGACAAGGTCGGAATTGATCACATTGCCATAGTAAAATCACAAAGGGACGTGGATAATAGCATTTCAACTGGGTTTTTGGGGTTTTTTTCTGAATAAGGACAACTCCCGCATTTGCGCATGCGGCGTGGGAAACCCGTAGCAAAAACCACGCCTAGAGTACTATCTATCCTTTCACCTTCATAGTATCCGAAAGTTGATAATGAGCATCTCGACTCCCCCCGAATACTGCGTCTTTATATGCCAATTTTGCCTAATAATTATTTAGTAATGAATTCCGGAAAATGCGAGTTGAAAATCTTACCTTGTGTATATATGCGTGTGATAATCCACTAGCAATCCGTATCTCTGTTATTGTTGCACCAAGATACAGCCTTGGGGACCTGTAAGCGGCTAATCGTGAGTGAAGAAATGAGCAACTAACCTTAACACCAGGTGCTGGGACCTGTGGGGCAGAAGAACTATAATTGAAATAATCCATTAACAAGGTCATCTTCGTGGTTTTGGCAATTGAGTTGTACGTACGCTTGCTGGGTAGTTGGCTCCATGGTTGCGTTTCGAATATAGTGATTGGGTTTATTTGTTTAATTGGCTTGTTGATGATTTTGTTTGAAACTTACATCTAGGAGCCTTATACTTATAGATATATATTAGTCTCCCATAAGTAGAAGTAGACGTGTACAAATTGGTTAATGATAGTCATGTTTTAGTTCAGCATACGTCTAGTTGTTGCTTGTTGCCATTTGAAGAATTCCTGCAAAGTAAGGATGCTAATTGGATCGACGTTCAAGACAAGCATGCAGTGTAAATATGATATATATTGATTGTAACCAACCACCATCACCACAGTCCACTCCCCTCTTTTCTCAGCTCTCCACTTGCACAGTCCCTCACCGCTTACATACATATCTTTATCGGAGGTTGCTTCTTGTCGTATCAAGCAAGCATGTCATTTTTATCTCAGGGAGGCGCATAGACTGCAGGACATGAATATTGCCTCGTAGGGAAACGCAGTGTGAGGTAATAATAATTAAATACGGTAATAACATGGCGTTCCGGCTAATATTTGATCTGCAAACTTAATCGCCAGCCGCAATTACATCCTATGCCATAAGCAGAGAGGCATTAACCATAGCCACTGCAATTGTGGGGTTGTCACTTGTGGGGTATATGTTTCACAGCTTAGGGGTTAAGGGACCTGCGTAGATCCGGGTGACCGCCGCGAAAGGGTATGCCATTGGTTGATACTGTAGAGGGTCGTAGTGCTGCGGCCATGCCGCAGTTGATCCTCTATTTTCATATTGGCGCTACGCTTCTTACGTGTCACTGTCCACCTGGAGCACGAGGATAGGGCAGTAGCAGAGGGCTGTGGATGTCGGTCCATTATAGATGTTGTTTCCAAGCGCATGAGCCAAATGTATGCATTTAGTTAGATATTTTGTGACAACAGATAACATCCTTATGGGTACATAAGATAAGTAGTACCATGGCCATCAACAGCAACCCCGGTCTTATACTGCGGACCATCCTGTGCCAACATCCCACATCGCATTCGTGGGTAATGCAACAGCTCCTGAATCTCAGTATCTCCGCCATGATACCGCTCGAGGTACACACAAATAGCCTGGCACTCGAGCGTCGCGCGCCGCTCTAGCCACCACACCGACTGGCAGATCTTCGCATACCAATACGCTAGCAACAGCAGAGCACGGGCGTCCCTCTGTGCCAACAGCTCCCTGAAGGCCGGCTGCATGTGCCCCTGGAAGAGAAAAAAGGTCACGTAGTTTTGGCAGTCGCATTCGACTGGCAGCAACGCTACTAGTGCTCGCACGGCAACGGCATACGGGCCACTCTCGGACTCGGGGTCATCAAGCCCATATAATCGTGAGAATGCGGGCGGGATACCTATATCGGCCGCGGATGTCTTGTGCATCCCGGCAGCATACTCGGTGGACATTATACTGAACATGCTATCGGCCCGCATTGGATCTGTAATACCCCATAGCAAGGCTTTGGCATCATTCATGCGTATCCACTCCAGATCCGATGGCTTTGATGGTGCGAGTGGCCACGCCTCTGATGCCTGTTTCGCGTCGATCGAGCAGAAGACTATCCAGCCTATAAGGCAGCCGGCTGCCCATACGGCGTCACGGTCGGCACGTGCGAGTGGTTCGGATAGCTTCCGGTTAAACTGTGCGGCGGCGCGTGAGAGGTGGTAGGATTCCGCAGCAATCTGTCGCTTGTTGGGCTGGCCTGAGAAGTGTCGATCGTGCAGGGATGTTAGGGCCTGTACAAGGTGCATCACGTACGGAGCCTAGTTGTGAGCACGTGTTAGCGTCGACGTGATAATGGGTCGTGTGAGCACTTACGGAGCAGGCCATTTTAAGGGCGTGGCTCTGGTAGAATTCCGCCGCCTCGGGGCCTCCCATGGTTGGTACGGTTCTAAGATGAAAGCGCCGTAAGCGCTCGAGGCTCTGTGTGTCCATCTCAATGCCCGCATAGCCATCTGAGAGGATAGGTGTAGCATTGGTAAGACGTGGGGGGGCGTGAACCATTGAAAGGTGATTATGGTTTGGTTGGGCGGCCTGGATGATTGGGTGTTGTGCCTTTGGAGAGCCCTGTTTCATGGTCGTGGTACCAACAAACAAGGGCTGCAGATCCGCAGCATTGGGATTGTAGCTGCATGATACCCCGTACGCACTGCATCTCTTGCAGCCCGGTTTGGTCTCATCACACTGGAGATCAATGTCAGCAGGATTGAAGGATAGGGCGGCGTCCCCACAAGTCTCACTTTGACACTTCGGAGTTTACAATTGCCACATCCACCTCTCGATTTTTTGTGGTTTCGGCGTCCTGGTTTTATCGGCGCTTTCCCAGTGCCTTCCCTGCGCGAAGTATTCTCCATTTTATAGATTTAGCCATGAGAAAATGGAAATTGTCAGCATTTCCATTTGCTGCGTCTAGCTTGAAAGGGTGAGATGTCGTTGAAAGTAGCGACATAGTTCCGAAACTCCGATCTTAAAAGGCAGTGAGCACAACATCCCAGTAACTGTTGTAGCGTAGTACACTAACCTATAAAGAGCTGTAACCCCTGTTGTTATTTTGCATTAGATACAGATTAGTAAGTAGTTCGCTTTTAATAATAAACGTTTATATCGTGTTTATTACACCATAGTATATAATTATTTACCAGAAGATTTATAAACGTTTATGTACTGTTTAGCATAATTGTTAAAATTAGGAGGTACTCCCTAAAACCCTACCTTTGTAAAAATTGTGCCACGACCTCCGACATTATCTTGGGCTACTGTTTTGGCGAAAGTTATAACAATCTGGATGAAGAAGATCTCAATGAGCCATTTTTCTCGGCCCAACATGACTTAGGGAAGGGATATCATTTCGCGTCCTGGAATCCATGGCTAATTCCAACCATTACTGCACTTCCGCAACGGCTTGTTGTAATGCTTATGCCAGAAATCGAGGTCTTTCTGACCCTCATGAAAGTCAGCACCACTTCCTTTAAACAATAATCTCAGCACTAAATTAAATTACATAGACCATTGACAGCAGAATTTCAGTTGTCCGTGAAGAGACAAAGAACGAGTTGAAAACCGATAGTCTGAGCAAAACCATATTCCATAGTCTCATTCGGAACCAAAATCTTCCCGAAGCAGAAAAGAGCGACAAGCGGTTAGCGGACCAGGCGAGCGTTCTCCTAGGTGGTAGGACAGACACAACTGCAAGTACCCTTGCTTACACTACTTACCACCTGCTTTCAAACCCAAGGATATTGAAGAAACTCAGAGATGAGTTGATCAGCGCAATTCCAGACCCTCAAGATATGCCCCCGTTAAATAAGTTAGAAGCACTGCCCTTCTTGACAGCCATAGTCAAATTAGGAATTCGTCTGCATCCCGGCGCTAGTATTCGCCAAGAAAGAGTTGCGCTAGATGAGGACCTGCTGTATGAAGATAGGAAGACTGGGATGAAATGGTTGATTCCTAAAGGAGTGAGTCAAGGTTTGTTCAAGGTACGGGGTACAAATTCGCTGACAAAACAAGATACCCGTGGGAGTGACTGCACCTCTACTAAGTAGGAACGAGGACATCTACCCTTTACCTTCCGTCTTCCGACCTGAAAGATTCCTCAACAACCTAAGGCTCGATAGATATCAACTTGCCTTCTCACGTGGGTCTCCAAGATGTCTAGGTGTAGGTCACATTTTCATCATACGTGGTTCTCGCTGATTGTTCGCAGATGCCATTGGCATATTCCGAGCTGTTTACAATACTCGCTAGTATCTTCAGGAAATACGACAGTTATGATGGAACGGGAAAACAGACAGGTTCAACATTCGAGCTTTTCGAGACTACCAAGGATGATGTGGAAATGGTCGCAGACCATGTGACACCGTACGTGAGAGAAGGGAGCCTGGGTATGAGAGTGATCATAAGACGGTAGAAGTTATTAGAGAAAAGATGCTTTTAGTTCTCTAGCTCTTGATCACCTTCTCAAACAAAACCCATAATGCATCAGCGAAGATCTCTGGCTCCACCATATACGAAATGTGACCCCCAGGAAGTCTTACAACCTCCTTTCCAACCTTGCCAGCCAGCAGTGCAATAGGTCCAACTCCCGGTCCGTCTCCGGAAGTAGCTCCTGCAGCCGGGATATACTTCTCCTTCTCTGCGACAATAACCTCCACATCCAATGCCGCGCTTGTGTATTGCCTCAGCTCAAACTCAAACCAGTACATCGAGTTGGCCCGGATTTCGTCCCCACGCGTGGTATCCATGCAATAGCGCATCCTTACGCCATCCTCGCCCGCTGAAAGTCCACCCGAGAAAACTTCCATGGCAGCTTGAACACCTTTGGCGCGATACAGGCTGTAAATGTGCTCAACAAGCCCAGCAGCTTTTGCTCGATATTCCTCAGGTAGCAATGCAAAGGCTGGTGGCTCGTGTGCAACAAGAGCGCGCACACACTCTGGGTGGCGAATGAGCAATTGCATGGCCACAATGGCTCCTGATGACGTGCCAAAGACAAAGGCAGGCTGGTCGGACAAGTGCTGGATTAGGGCGCATGCATCATCGGCATCAACTGACAGACGATCAGCGAAGTCTTGTGCACCGATAAGGAGACTTTGGGAAAATCCCCGCCGGTCCCAACAGGCAACTGTGAAGTGTATCGAAAGATATTTAGCAGTGTCGTGGAATACTGCTCCCCGACCATCCGCACCTGGAATCAGGAGCAGAAGAGGCCCACTGCCAAAGGTCTCATAGTATAATTTTGCGCCATTAACGTGCAAGTCTGGCATTGTTGTAGCTGTGTCGAAGATTGATGATGTGCTTTGGAAATGGGTTGATGGATTGCTGCGAAAGGATGCTGTGAAAGGATGGAATTATGATTTAGTACTCCTCAAGAACGAGCTGTGACTTTATAGCAAAAGACAATGGAAATTAAGTTTGATTAGACTAAGACATGTTCGGGGAGATCGGAGGAGCGCGACGACCTAATGGATGATATGACATGAAGCTCAACTACCGCGATGGTGAATTAGTTGTTATAGTAGCAAAACCATACTACAAAGATATAATGGGGTGTATGCAAGTGAATTAGGTGTACACAGCGATAGACTCTAGCTGAACCGGTACAGCAACAACAATACCGAAACAAAACGTAACAGGATGTAGCAGCGAATATGAAAAGACACCAAAGCGTAACTCGTTCATAAGCACCCAAGTGTACGGCACCTACCCGCGGAGTTCGGAGTTTTTATATTCCGATCCCGATCTCCGCGGCTTGGCACCCGAACTTTGCGTCATATTAATTGAAGTCGACGGGTTGGAGGTTTCCACTTCTGTTGCGAGTCAGTGTACATTTATAATAAACCCTATGCTAGATCTAATTGTCATCTAGCTAGCTGGGTTCCACGTTCATTCCGCTGTAAATCGATGGGCGATCTGACATTCTTACCCATATCAGTTTTCTAAAAGACAATAACTATGCTGCCTCAAAAGCGTCGCAAGATTCTACTTGCTTGCAGCCAGTGTCGAAATCGTAAGACGCGTTGTAATGGGGATCGACCAATCTGCAGATCTTGTCAAGAAAGAGGATTGAAGTGTCAGTACGAACAAAGCTTGCCAAAGTCGTCTTCGTAAGTCGGTTTAAGGAGATCTCCGTGCTCATCTCATTGAAATGCCCTCTAGGTCAATTTCCGAGATAGAAGGCCGCTTGAGGTTACTTGAGCAGAGCCGAACCAGCTCAGAACGTCCAGACAGCTTTGAAGCATCCCAGTGCTCCTCAAACCCACTGGCTAATGCTTTGCACGAGTTGCGTGATGAGCATGTAGAAGTTAAGCAGCTAGGACAAGAAACAATTCTTGTTGACCAGTCAATTCACGGATCTTCCTCCAATGATTCTTTTATCAACCAAGTCACCGCTGTCATGGACACAGCAAATAAGGCTCAGCAAGAGTGGCCAAATACCGCACAATCTCGGGGTGCAGAAAGCTCCCTACCCCTCCAGTCTCGCATCGCTCCGGAACTGAATTTTCCATTTCCGAGTCCAGAAGATTCGGTCGCGTTGATGGAATGCTTCTGGGACAACATCCAACCTATATTTCCAATCCTGCATCGTCCAAGCGTCCAGCGCTCATACAGCCTTATTTGCCAACCTTGTGAAGCTGATGTGGGGAGAGATGTACTTGAAAGGGATCTCCTTCAAGCAACCTTGAACATTATATTCGCCCTTGGCTGTCAATATGACAACCACCTCCCTTTTGAGCAGCGCACTACTTCTGCGGCTGAATTCTACGAAAGGTCTCGCACCTTTTTTTCTCTAGATGCAATAGACGTTCCGACCCAGTCACACGTCCAGCTGTTTCTCCTAACAGCAATCTATCTGCATTCTACAGCATATGCCAATCGGTGCTGGGACATGGTCGGTGCTGGGCTCCGACTTGCTCAAAGTCTTGGCCTACACCAAGAGAACAATTTTCTTCATAGCAATGAATCTCAACTGAAACGAGAAATGCGGCGTAGGATCTGGTATTGCTGCGTCATCCTTGATAAGTACTTCACCAGACTCGGGCCTCCATGATTGGCCGTTGATAAATAGCAGAATGACAGCGACGACTTTTGGACGGCCTGTAACCCTATCCAGATTTTGGAATGTCGAGCCGCCTCAAGCGATTGACGATGAATTTCTCCAGCATGTTGGTAAAGGCTGCCAGCCACCAGGTCTTCACTCCAAAATGGATGGATTTGTGTACTCCATAAGTCTTTTCGATATCCTCGACAACGTCTTATCTACCATCTATTCTTCTTCGAATGACAAAATCGAACACCCCTCACAAGAGAAACCTCATTTGACATTCACGAAGAGACTGGTCAGCACATTCACGCTGAACTCGCAACTTGACGACCTACTCAAGAACATCCCAACACACTTGAAGTTGCAGGAGGATTTCACAAATAACGCTAGCCAGATGAAGAGATGTTTTCAGGTACAAACGAAGACCCTGAATTGCAGGTTTGTAGCTTGCCCTGTCTGAATAAATATGTGCGCCTTACTAATACTCTAGGATCCTGTATGTCCGGCTTCTTATCCTTAGACCTTGGCTTCTTGAGGGGGTTCACCCTGCAGGGGGGAATATTGTTTCATCTAGAACAATGAATTCTTCAACGCTGGGCCAAAACACTACACAAGAGATCAGAACTCTCTGTGTCTCCACGGCACAACTAATCATAGACACGCTGTACGAAGATGAGTTGAACTCTAGCCAAAGTTCTAGCTGGCATGCCGTCTACTGCAAGGGCCCCTTTCACCTCTAAACTCTGACCATTATCTATCGCCCTTCTAAATTCACATGATGCTGACTTCTACAGTCTCATATGCAGCTGCTAGCATCCTTTTGGCTGCGGCTATACGTCCTGATAGCAGTGTGGATCTAGAATCCGAACCTTACAAGGCCTCCTGGCGGAAGGCGATTCACACCTTAAAGCACAATAAAGTGCAACTCCACGCTTCATTTCGGGCGGTCGAAGTGCTGGAGGGTTGTCGAGAAAGACTACGGTCTGCTATGAAACTAACAGCAGGTATGGATCTATCTCAAATACCTATACATAAGGAAAGTAATGGTACTTATATCGCAAAACAGATTCATTAAATGGACAAGACGCTCTACCTCCGGGAGAAGTAGAATTCGACTGGGCGGTGGATATGAATTCGGAAATTAGGGAACTGGATCTACTCAGCCCCAATTTCTTCCTAGACTCTTGGTAAAAATCTGAAAAATTAGGACCTACATTCTAGTAATACGGACTATTAAGTCTATCACTAGCTCCCTAACCGTCGCTTTTTTTTCTTAATGAATATGCCTTCGAAAATTTTGACCAAAGGTTAAAATAAGGAGGTTCTTCGTTTGATAAGAAGAGAGGCGGGCGCTTCAGCGATACTTCGATCCAGTCTTGGCGCTTTTCTGAACATGGTTCCGTGGTCTCTTACAAATCGGTGGAAATATAATCTGTATTGTTTCTTACAGATCGGTGTAAATATAATCTGTGCTTGGTGTGTTTTTTCTGTCCACTTAATTCAACCCTCCTGTTTCTCATAGTCTCACGTGTTAGCCCGGATGGGTTGCTGCTGTCCGTGCGCTACACTTGAAACTTTGTCGATTTCATCCACCTTACACTTACACACTTATGAATGGAGGTGGAGCCACTAGTGAGCTGGTCTACTAGGTTATTTCCACGCATATCAGCATTAGCAATCGATACTGCCACTCACAGGTAGGAAGCTTAAATAGACAATAATGAACAGTCCTATTTAGTAATGCAAATTACAGGGAGGCGTCACTTAGAACACTTAGCATCTTAGACCTTTCGCCTTCTAACTCTCTTCATGCATAAGCGGGCATTACGTAAGACCTTATAAGGAAACACTACACTATAGAGAAAGCTTATAGGGGCGTTGGACTCACAGGGGTTAAGCCCTCTAGGGAGTGTCCTCTTAGGGGAGAGAGTCTCTAAAGAGCTTTGTCTATAGAGTAGAGACGAACCTAGAGCATACTCCTTAGTTATATAAGCACCTAGGAGGATCCTTCTAGTATAAGGACATAGGGATATAGCTCTCTATAGTAGCATATAGGAGTACGAGTTAGAGGTAATGCTATATTATATCCTATAGGTCTACTATAAAGGATATAAATAAGATAAAGGTGTAACCCTCTATTCCTATTCCCTTAAATACCTAAAACCCCTTTAACTTAGCTAACTCCCTATTTACCTAAGGCTTATAGTTATAATTAAACTATAATAGCCCTAAGTCTTAAGGGTGCTATATAACAACTATAACTAACCTAAGTAAGGAGGTATCCTTATAGTAGGCTAGCTATATAATAACGCCTACCTAAGTCTATAGCTGTAAGGACACAGGGCACTGTATCACGAGAAGTTGCATATGGGAGTGCGAGTCGGATAGAAGTCGGTGCAATCCTATAGGTCTACTACGAAGGATACAAAAAAGATGAAGGTGTAACCCTGTATAGCTGTTCCCTTAAAATACCCGAAACCGCTCCGACTCAGCTAGCTCCCTGTTTACCTAAGGCTTCCTTACGTTATGTGCCTAAGGCTGTTAGTCGCGACTGACCCGTAACGGCCCTGAGTCTCGATGGCGCCACGTGACGGCCGTAACTACCCCGAGTAAGGAGGCATCCTTACACTACCCCCCGCCTTGAGAAGGTGCTTTGTCCTCAAAGCACGCAAGCCGAGTAGCTGCCGCGACGAGCCCTTGGTCGGGTTGGTAGGTGAGGTGCGGGCGCTAAGACTAGAATGCCCTTTGTTTGTCTAGAAGGCTAATGGTAGGCGGCCGTATAGGCACTGGAAGTGGTCTGAATCCGTTTGCGCAAAGTCGCATCTTTGTTGTGTGCGCGGCGATTAGTAGGCGAGGGTCCGTATTGGTATCGAATAGAGTCCGCGTGGTATGTGTGTCGTCGTAGAATTTCAATGTAAAGGGGAAATTCAGCGCTAACCCGATTCGGACGGCTTTGTTATAAGCCAGAATATGAATTCGAGCTTCGCCCACAACTTGTTGTTTTCTTCACAACAACGACGCTAACCCCCCCTCCTAAGACTAGTAAGTGGCCCTTCTGATGGTACAGCTAGATGCTAACAGGTTGTTTTTAGATACAAAAACACAACCAACGATTTGGTAGGTGACGGAACCGCGCTAGCGCGGTGGTGATAACTTGGGTTGGGCTGACGGGAAATCGCAGATTTCCAATTTGAAGATGCCGGTTCCCCCTCCTCCCAGCGCCCTCACTGTGGCTTTCCGCCAGCAGTGTATGCGCTGCGTACGCGCCAAAGGCCGCAAGAAGGACGGAGATCCCGCCGTCTCGTGTGTGTAGAGCTTAGAAAGCTCTAAGTGTGAGCGCTACGTGGCCTAACACGCAACGTGTGTTCTAGTAGGTTCTCGTTTAGCTTTCGGTTTTGTGGTTTGTCTGTCTGCCCGTCGCTGACCTCTAGAGATAGATCTCCTGGTTTGCTGGCCCGGAGTACTAGAAGCTCCTAGCTGCTGAGGCAGCAACCCCTCCCGTCCCCGCTGCCATTAAGGCCGCTGCGGCGGAGATTGGGCGTGTGGTCACATTAGCCACCGCCAATATGCCGAAGTTCCGCTCCCCGGCCGAGCTTTCAGCCTATATGGAGAGTTGCGCCCTCTGCGCTGCCGTCAAGGACGGTCTAGAGGTAAGTTTTCCATTTCCCTTGTGTGTTTTTGGTTCTCGCGCTGACGACCGTAGCGGGTCCGCTAGGCCGTGGCCGTCGTGGGCCAGAAATCGGCCCTAATCCTAGTAAACTAGGAGAAGGAGATCGCTGCCCTTAATGGGGTGGCTTCTGCGGTAGATGCGGTAGGGGAGTTGGTAGAGAGGATCCCCGACGCCCTCGCTGCGGCAGCGAAGGTGGGCGGTGGTAGGGGGAAGAAGAGGAAGAGGGGGGCGGAGGAGGTGGAGGAGGAGGGGGTGGCCGTCGACCTTAGGTGATAGGCCCTGTGTCGGAGGGAACTCAGGCGTAGTCTTTCGCGTAGGGTCACTTCGACCCTTCGTCTCTCATGGTAGTAGCCGCTTGTTGCGACGCTAGTAAGACGTTTGGGAAGGGTGGCTTCCGCAAGGGCTACGGCTCTAAGGGTGCCCTGGCTTAGAGGGTGTTTAGTTTAGTGTCGTAGGTAGCAACGACGCTGTTTTCCTCTGCTTTGCCGTGCCTCTCGTGATCGTAGCTTAGTTTGCCTATCTCCCATTCCGTAATCCAGCCGGGTAGGTCCTACGGCGGTCCTGGCAGGTTTAGGTACTCCGCGTGGAACTCCCGGATTTTGTAGGGGGAGTTCTTAAAGTTTGAGGCGGGGTACCATTCCGGGTCCGGATCGTATCCGACCTAGGATACCTAGTATTAAAGTTGTTTTCGCTAGATCCTTACAGCGAGGATCTTTTCGACCTCCCACTCCTCTAGGCCGTCTACGACTTCGCTGCTTAGCTTAGGCGCTACTTGACCGGGCAGCGGGTTATTCGGAGCCTTAATGAGTACGTCTAGAGAGAAGACACCGTGTATTTGGGAACCCTTCAGTAGGTCTAGTCGGAAGGCGTGTCCGATTTGTTCCAGTACCGTATAGGGTCTGACCCATTGTTGCCCCAGCTTACGGCTAGGGCGGTGATTTTTCAGATTCTTAGTCGATAGGTAAACCTTGTCTCCTACGTCCCAGTCAATGGCTTGTCGGTATCGATTCGCGTATTTAGACATATCCTCTTGTGCTTTAGCCATGTTCTCCTTTGCGTAAATCCATGCGGAGTGCATGCGGTTTGCTACTGCTTTAGCTTCCTTCTAGTTCATGATTTCCCTAGGGGTCGTGGCTTTCGGGGTTTCCTAGTCCCAACTAGTGCGCAGATCAGTTCTGTACTTAAGTCGGTAGGGGGTCATTCCGATCGAGGCATGGGGAAGGGTCATTTGCACCCGATCCATGATAGGAATGAGCTTGCTCTAGTTATCCTAGTAATGTGATACGAAGGGCCTCAGTCTCTAATCGATATACCGATTCATGATTTCCGTCTGCCCGTCAGTCTACTTGTGATAGGCTGTCGACAGCTTAATCTTAACCCCTATAATTCGGCAGAACTCTCGCCAGAAAGCTGATATGAATTGGGGTCCGCGATTACTAATGATCGACTCTAGGGTGTGTCTGAATCGATATATCCATTTGATGAATAGCTGCGCCATTTAGCGGGCATCGGTGGTCTTATGACACGGTATGGACACCGAACCCTTACCGAGTCGGTCCATGAACACAAGGATGCTGTCGAATCCGTGTTTATCCTTTGGGAATTCCTTAAAGTCCATCGTTAGGTGTTGCATGGGGTATTCTAGTACTAGTAGGGGGTGTAAGAAGCCTTGCTGCTTCGTGACGTTAGTGTGAGTGAGTCGGCACGTCACGTAGTTACGTACGTATCGGAGACAACCCGCTTCCATTCCGACCTAATGATACTTCGGGGCGAGTAACTGATAAGTTTTTCTGCCACTAGGGTGGGCTACTGATACTTGATCGTGTGCTTCCTGTATGAGTTTCATACATAACTTAGTGTGCCGGGTTACGCACAGTCGACCCTTATATAACAATAGTTGGTCCTTCATTGTAAACCCATTAGGTAGGGGGTCTTTCGTGCGAGTGTCGGTAAACGACCTCCTATTATCCGCGCAGAGCGCTTCTATTAGGTCAAAGGGGACCTAGGTGTTTAGGGCGTCCATCGCATTGATCGAGGCCACGTACGTTTGTGCTAATTCGGCACTAATTCGGGGGTGTAGTTAGGCTAGGCCTAAAAGCACCCTTGCACGGCTGTCTAGTTTGACCTTCTGCTGTGTAATTAGGTCTTGCTCTCTTCGGCTCAGTATATCTGCCTTCTAATTGTTCTTGCCAGCTATATATGTAATACAGAAGTTGAAGTCAGAGAGTAGCTCCATCCACCGAACCTGCTTCGCCGTGAGAACCTTCGTCGTCATGAAGTATTCTAGCGATCGGTGATCGGTGTAAACGTCGATTCGGTAGCGTACCGATGTCAATTCTAGCCTCCATTTTGCGAACGCTTTCACGATAGCGAACAGTTCCTTGTCGTGGATCTCCCAATTGATCTCGTGCCCGGATAGGACGTGACTGTAGAAGCTTACGGGATACCATCGCTTGTCTAGGTGTTCCTGAGAAAGAACACCAGCTACGACTCCGTTAGAGGAGTCTGTTTCCAGCTTCGTAGGCAATTCGGGGTTAAAGTGGTGGAGCGCCTACACGGCTAAAAGCTGTCGGTGCATTTCTTCAAAAGCGTTCTCACATTCGTCAGTCCATAGAAACGGTTCCGAGGGGCTGGTGATAGTGGTGAGAGGCTTGGCTATTTTCCCGAAATTTCTGATAAATTAGCGGTAGGAGCCGCAGAATCCAAGGTAAGACTTCACGCCTGTGACAGTTGTTGGCTAGATCCAATTCCGGAGGGGTTCGATCTTCTTAGGATCCGCTTCGACACCGGTAGTAGTCAGGATATAGCCTAAATACTTTGTCCGGGTTACGTTGAACTCGCATTTCTTAATGTCGGCTTGTAGTCCTGCTTCTCGAAGCCGTTATAGGACCTTATATACGTGGTCCATGTGTTCCGTAGGGTCCTTAGAGTAGATTAGGATGTCGTCTAGGTAGGCAGTACAGAAGTCGTCTAAGTATTACATAAGAACGTCGTTCATATACCTCTAATAGGTTGCGGGGCTGTTCGTTAGACTAAACGGCAGCACTTTGCATTTGTAGGATCTATATCGAGTTCGGAAGGTCGTGT